AGCTTGGGTATGCTCAAATCCTTCTCTCTTTTCTCTGAAACTTGCAGTCAGGGTGCTGCCGAGCTGATGCAGGCTGGCAGTTGTAGGGCAGAAAAGGCAGGATATGAGCGTGAGCAAGAGCAGGACAACGCTCTCCTCTCCAGGTTAGGGCCTGCAACGTGTGGTTGTGGGCGCCTGTAGATTGTGTTGGTAGCCGAGTCGTGCGGAAGGGAGCTGAGCTTCCCAGGCTACGAGGCACTTGGGCATGAGTGAAAACTCGGGCACCGTATCAATGTATGGCGAAGACAGCGTTGTGGTGCAGTGGTGATGGGCAGTCACGCGGGTGAGTGCAAGGCGAAGGACAGGAGTGTTTTCAAGGAGGGCGGTGCATGGAAGTGGGGTAATGGAGCAGTGCGCGGAGAGCGCTTCCAATGTGCGAGGGAGCTGTAGCAAAGGGATGTTTCCTCATGTTGGGCTTGTAAATGAACTTGAGTAGGAAGGGGAACGGGTAGGTCTGTGCAGACACTGACGCTCTAGAAAATGAAACTATGTGGATTTGGCTGGTGTTCGGGAGAGGACTGCCTTTGAGAGCTTCAGATCTAATTTGTTAGCACATGAGGGCTGTGGGTGAGACGGTAACAGAGTTACTTCTTTAAAGAGGGTGTTAGCAGGCCAGGAGGACAGGGCCTGCATATCTCCAGATAGTGTTTTCCTTGGGGAAATGCAGATGCCTGACCTAGTGGAGTAGTTTGGCCATACCATACCATACCAGGATGAAGGAACAGCAGGGTGTGTAGTAGTACCCTGTGGTGAGAGGATGGCCAGAAGGCTGTCAGGGTTTTGGAGGGGACTGGGATGTTCATTGTGTGGGAAATGGAGCAGGTGAGGGCATACAGGCAGGGAAAAGGCTAGCAAAGAGCCCCAGCTGCGCCTCTGCTCTCTGAGTCATCTTTCACGTCACTGTCAAACCCACTGTGGTGCTCTGCAGCCCGGCAGCGATCCTGAACCTGGCTCGAGGGCAGAATGAAGGTGAGCTGGCACTGGGTCACCGGGGGGAGGCAGGAGTGCAAATGTAGCAGCCCCTCTGAGCGCTCGCTGCCAGCTCTGCTCCATCCGGACTGCACCGCTTGCACGGAGGCTGTCTGGCTCTGATCCGGGCCCTCTAGCGGGCACTGCTGGATCTCTGTGGCCATATTGCTCCTTCCGTCTAGCCAGTCTCTCCAGCTGTGTCTCCCGCCTTTGTCTCTCCTCTTCCACGGCAGACAAAGGAGCCCATTGGGACCTCATCCATGATTATCTATGGTGTTACTAAGGAAAGTGGTGAATTGGCCCGCTCTCAGTGTTTCAGATAAGGACTAGATACCTTTTGGGGAGATAACGTGTTCAAAGGTAGCAGAGGGAAATGCGGTCTCCTGAAAAAAGATGGGATTACCTACCCGAACCTCTCCTGTGCTTCCACAGGCCTCAGACTCTATTGCAGGAGTACGTTTGCCATTAGTTGTCAGAGTTGACGGAGGAGCAATGTTAGCTCCCTGGTGAGGTCCGATCGTCATTCAAATTGAAGTTACTGTGTTGTGTTTGGATCGAGCTTCAGCTCTTCCTCATGGTAAGAGAGCTTGGAAACGGGTTCAGAATATGGTGGCATGCACAAAATCGTGTTGTGGTACGTAGGCTCCAAAGCCACGCAGTGCCCTGTGTGCAGACAGCAGAGACGCTCGAGTGCGTCCCCCTCTTAAGAGAGGGAAGCAGGTTGGATAATGGAAAACCATCTTAAGCTTTCTTGCCATTATGTCCCTTGCTTACACCAGTGACTTTCCAGATAAAGCAGCTGTTTGATAGGGCTACTGGTAAAGGATAAGGTGAGTTTACTAGCTCATAAGGCCTCATGACAGAAGCTGTAAGGGTTTAGTTCAATATAAATATGGGAAAATACTTGCAGCTGTAGAGAGGAAAAAAAAAAAAAAAAGGGCATCTTAAAGGAGTGTGTGGAGGGAAGCCACCCACCCAAGGGAGCACAGGGCCCACCCAGTGCTGCTTTGTCTCATTGAGAAGTTGGAGATCAGACTAGAGAGCTACCCTGTTCGTGAGTGCGCAGGTAACTACTTCTAGGGATGGCTGCACTGGAAAAATGTAGTTTCCTTTCCTTGATTGTGGTAGAGCTCCTTTTGAGAGAGGAACAGCCCACTCTTTTCTGGAGTACATCGAAGTGTACTTTAATCTCTTGAAATTCACAGGCAGTACCAGACTTGTTTTAATATGTGCTTTACATTAGCCTTTCTTCATTACTAGCAAAGCGTCGATGTGAATGGCTGACAAAGCAGCCTGTACAGCTCTCCTGGAACAACAGCTGCTGTAGCGATATACGTGACAAGCAGAGTGCTAATCCTTGGAGACTTAAACTGGCTTTTGTAGGATCAGTAGAGAAGTACAGCACTACCAGAAACGGTGTAGACTCTCTGTGTAGCAGGAAAAAAATAACTTCTTAACCCCTAAGAATGAAATCGTTTATTTTAACAGTAGCTGTTTTGCTCCTGCCCTGTGCTCCAGGTGCAAGAGGGGACAGCTGAGGTAGCGCTATACACAGCGCTCTCTCAATTTAGATGTGGAGGGAGCCTGTTTTGGATTTAATTGAACATCAGAAAATACACAGCCTAAGCACTAGAGAAGACTTCACTTCAGGATTCAGTAGGGTTTATTCTACAAATCTTAGATCAATGCCAATGATACAAGTTGTATGAATTCTCATTAAAAATACAAGTCAGTATAAAGATTCCAGTAATAATATAATGCATGATGATTCAGTTTCAAAACTTAAGGAATGAATCTGTGTTTTGGACCATGCTAAAGAAAAGGGGAATACAATGTAGAAGAAAGAATATTTAGTTTACCTCCCTTACTTTAGGAGGGGCCTGTGCCTTATTGCCACGATACCTGAAAAAGCAACATGAAGTGCATAGCAGCCTTGCCTGTACAGTCTCTAGGCAAAACTGTTGAATTTAGTATCCACCTCCTCTCCCCCCAGTTCCTGTAAGTTACGGGGCATGTTGATAGCCTGATATCACTATAATAACTTAAAGCTATAGCAACATCTTCCCCCACAATGATTGCAACACAACAGTCCTTTGGACAGTAAAACGTTCATATAATGCACTGAAATTTTTCCACTGTACTAAGTGTTTTGCCAGACATTTCCAGGAATGCTAAACACTGATTGAAATCAACTGTGAATTGGTTCCATGTTCAAAATTCCTGTCCACGATTTTAAAACAAAATGATTATTGCTGAGTCTCAGTGCAGTCTAATACTCGAGTGTGTTGTCATAGCTTCAGGCACAATTAGAATATAATCACATATTTTCTTGAACCCAGACCTCTGACAAAAGGAAAGCTGTAAGAGCTTTCACAAAACGGTTGGAATTTGGCCGCACAATTGCTAGATCCAATGCTTTGGAATGGGGGAGACAGAACTACCTTTTCTCAGAGCTGCCTGCACTTAGAGAGGATTAGGCTTAATAAAGCCCTACCCTAAGCCTAAGTTTCAAAGAAACAGTTTACTTATCCCAAGAGGTAACTTTTGACAAGACGTGCACCTCTTTCCCCTCATGCTGTATGTACATCTGTGTATTCCTAGTGATGCTTTCACCCTGTCAAAAGTAAGCGGCGTCCCTCTTGTTGAGCTCAGTCATTTCTTCTGGCAGAACCATATGAACATTACAGAGCAGGTATCATGCATCTATCTGCAAAAGCAGACAGGGAAACTAGGCTTAACAGTAACGCATACATTTCCAAACAGATTTTTGGTGCAGTCGGTGACATTTAACTGAAACTCAGCTTTTACCAAAATATTAGCGTAATACAAAAATCCAAAACCACTGGGTATAAAGAAGCTGCTGACTTCCACGCATCAGTTAAAGAAAAACCCTTCTTGCATAAATAGAACAGCAGCACAGAACAAGCACAGACTCGGCTGTACAAATACATCTTTTCTTCTGTAGGCATTTGCAAAAATTCTCCAACCACCATCCTACTATAAGGTTTTAATCATCATACCAATGGTGGCAAAATCTAACATTAAGCCACCATGCAGGCGGATGG